ATGTTCATGTTTTTCCTTCTCTTCCTGATAACAATACAATTTTAAAACAGTGCAAGATTTTTTTCTCGGGGACCCTCTTGATTCTTTTCGTGTATCTATTTCAAAAGGAAATACAAGCCTGCCAAGTAAAAAGTTAAAATTTTTCTTGATTTCTTATTTTTTTTTTACGTATATGAAACGACATATATAGTTCTATATATGAATAGTTTATATTACAGTATATATACTTATGCACAATGGTATGCATTGTGGAACAAAATCACACGTTTCCGTGCGCGCCACACGCGCACAATTTGCGTGCCGAGCTTCGTACAAAAAAAAAAATGAAACAGACAATGTACATGCGTAGATTAAACCTAAATAAAATGTACATAACAAAAATATTTTTTTTACGGTAATGTACAGCGAACACAAATGGCCACATACCATGCAGCCAGTCTTTGTTCTTTGCATAATGTCATAAACAAAAACAAAAAATGGAAAATAATGCAGCTGTGTGTTCACGCATGAATCTGTCACAAAAGTCCTGAGAACTCATCCAGAATCATTAGAATGATCAGAAAGAAGCAACAACTACAGTTCAAATAAAAACCACGGTGGAATAACTACAAATTTGGCATGCCATTAACTTATTCAAAAAAAAAAAAATTATATACAGATAGTTTTTACTCTGACTGTAACTTCTACAATCTAAAAGCTATGTTTCCACCTTTCTTAACTTAAAATCAGAAATACAGGCAAGTCAAGTACGTATATATATGTAGGCTTTTTAAAATTTTTAATTTAAAATTACTACTGCCATGAACCTTATCCAAAGTTGAAGCGACGATGAAAACAAAACCGCCCACAGAAAACGCTGCTTTTGATACGAAACAGGGTCAAACTTACAAATTACATTGTTTTGTACATTTCGTCTGGGTTAGGTCTGTTGGATAAAAACGTCTACAACTTATCATTAAACTGTTACGAACTTACGATTAACATTTCCCGTTGTCTGCAAGTTTACAGACTAGTTCAATCGTTTCCCCAAATGTCAAGAAAATTAAAAAGCTAAAATAACACAAATTACTAACAGCATAGGAATTTATAGTGGTTATAACATATTGCAATACAGCATGTACCTTGTATGTGTGTTGCATTTGTCTGAACCCATTACGTTAAAAAAAAAAAGCACAAGAGCTTAAGAGTAAACCACACAATCGCTTAGCAGAACCTGTGAGTAAGCACGTTTTACTTGGAATAGAAACACAACCACGACTGACTGGTCGTCAACTTTCTTTCTGCTTTCTGCCAAAAATGCAGCATATTGCTCAATACTTTTCGAATACAGACACATGTATTTCTCGTCAGCGTGTGGTCTGGGCTCAAGACATCATTGTCAACACGCACATTATGAACATGTGGAAAAGAGACCAGACGGAGGTAAACGTGCTTCAGCTTTGCCAGCTTTGCCAATGCGACGTAATCACTGTTAGGTAATAACTTGGGCCTGGTCTATAATGTCGAGGTCTCCTGGGTCACTTTTACTGCAGGGTCTAATTTGAGGTTAATAGCCAAGTATAACATGCTTAGAAAACTCAACAGAAAAATCCCAGCATTTGGGCTTGCAGTTTTTACCAAAAAAAGCGAAAAACCTCTTCTATGCTTAAGAAACTTTTGTGCTTTACAAGCTCAATGGAATCACTCCCAGCTGATTAAAGCTGGCCTTCAATTACACAAAATCACATTTTCCACAAATATTTTTTTCTGTAATTGTTTTCTAGGGTTGCCCATAAACCAACATGTGATATATGTACCGGCTGACCAAATACAAGCGCGCTAATACCAGATTTAAAGGCGAGCCAGGAAGCAGCCGTGTGGCATGCTGGGCAATGGAGGGGTCAAACGTGACAAAAAGAAAAAAAAATAGCAGGAGAGGAAAAGATCAATTAAATGCAGGAAAGGGAGGAGATGAGTCAGGAAATATCAAAAATAAATTCGGGAAAGAAAATTCAATCGGACAACTATGACTGATTATCAAACACTGCTGCCCAGAAGTTTAAATTTAACAGAAGAAATCAAAACAATTGGCATGATCCAAACTCTGACCAAGGACAACAAGAAGAACTGCAGTATAAGATCCTTGACAAAATTACGGTCTTTCCCAATCGTTTTCTTTCCACAAGGTGAGGTCACTATCAGGGGAAATTGAGACAAATCTAAAGAGAGCAGCCCGGTAACATTCAACATTTTGCAGTCAGTTCTGGGCCCAATTTCATGGCTCTGCCAACCACAGCATTCTGCGCTTAGCATCACCATTCTGCGCTAACAGGGCCAGCTGAATAATTCTGTGCTAACCCTGTAAGCACAGAATCTGTAGCTACGGTATGTACGCCTGGGCATAAACCAAATTCCTCACTAACCTGTGAAATATGCTTACAGAAAGCACGGAATTGTAAAGGTACAGTAAGCAGAGATTTTTTGCTAATGGTAAAATAGATATATGAAATTGGGTCCAGTATGCAGTAAACACCAAATAGTTGTCTGTTTAATGATCAATTTAAAAGTTCAATTTCATGGAGATGCTCAGCAAGAAAACTGTTGCTTAGAAAACAAAAATTACACGCTTAGCAAAAATCAAGTGGGAACCGGTCACAAGCTAATACACAGTGCATGGCACTTTGACCGGTAACCTGGTTTTTGCTAAAAAAAATGATTTCTGCGCTTAACAGCTCCACAAAATGACGGGTTGTTATCTTTAGCGCACTCAGTCATTTACCTACAACTTCCATTTAAACGTACATTGTAAATGAACTGAAGTACAGTATTTGATCTTACACACACGAGTCTATTTGGAGCATGAGCCACAAGCCGGTGTCATGTGAAATGTGGACTCCTATGAAATCTGGTCTTTTTTACTGTATATATGAACTCTTACCCTCATACGTGACCTGTCATTGTCCGATTATGTTTGCCAAGACATGCACAATACAAGCAATGAGCTGTATTCCGTAGAGTCCAAATTTCACATGACACTGGCATTACTGCCAATGGCTTAGGAAAGTCCACTGTGACTTTCCTAAGCCATTGGCAGTGCTGATGCCTGTGGTAAATGCGGAAGCCATAGTCAAAAATGCCAGATTTTGACCAGCCACATTCTAACCTTTACATTATACATTAACTGAATCTGAGTTACTTGGCTACGGCTAAGAGTAACACAGGTGGCTATGGGAAGTGGCTTCAGCGGCTTCCATAGACACATGTAGAATTGCGAGCCGTAGCCATGTAAATCAAACACAGCCTATTTCTAACATGGCTGATGCATCATTAAGGCCAGTTCTGCTTCTTAAACACTGGACAATTTCAACCGACCATTTTCTTTTCTCACATTTTATAAGGATATCTGTTAGTGTCTAAGCCGTTTTGAGGAAAAGGCATTCCATTGTGAAATGATTACAAACCACAATTTCTTTTTGTTTTTTGAAAACGTAGATTATACAACGTTAAAGGTGACATGGCTGGATCGTTTGCCAGTAATTAAAGAATAGTTAGTAATTCGTTTGTAAATTTGCATATTTTTGTTAAAATTATCCCCTTAAAGTGTTCTTTCTGTTAATGTTATAGCATAAAAAATATCTCTGTACATTTTATATATATATATTTCTCTTTTATTTTTTTTAAGCAAAAATAATTTTGTGTGACAACTAGGATTTTCTTTCCCTTCTTCTACCAAGACTAGAGAGTTTTAAATGTACATCTGCTCTCAAAACTTGTATCTTTAACCGGGATGCTTTTGTCGGAACTCTTAGTTCGGTCCATCACGTTCGGTTGCGCTGATTTATTTTTCATCAATTGACTTCACTTGATACTATTAGTCACTTGTAAGCATAATTTGCTAGGACTGACTTTTCGGTACGCGTTGGCTTTTTTTTTTCTCGTTTTCTTTAGAGTATCTGGCGTTGCTGATAACGAATTTGATCTGAAGCACAGGTGCGCGGATGGACGAGATCAGCTTCAGCCAGACACTACTCTGAACTTCCTCTCGTCTAACTTTGCGAGAATCTGAAGTTGGAACTATACAAGTTTCTATCCTTCAAAAAAAAATCTGCTGCGTGAAACTCCAAATTTTTTTTTTATATTTTTTACAGTTCTCTCCAGTCGTTTGTACCTGTTTTCCTTTTGGATTTGAAATAAGAAATTTTAACTAAAAGTTAAAAATACATGCTGGAGTTTTCTTCCGTGGAGAGACAAACAGACCAGCATTGGAAGGTTTGACTGAATGTGCTTTAAAGGTGTTTAACAGCTGAACGGCTCAGCGGTGAAAAACTTGTGAGCCAATGCCGGGGGGGGGGGGGGGGGGATTTCTTTGCAGCATTGCGCAGCGGTTGCAGGATGCACTGGTTTCCCATGCAGTGATGATCTCATAGACTTCACAGGAACCAACACTTTTTCTTTGTCGTTACTGATATTAATTCGGGTCTGACTCAAGGACTGAGAAAATATACTCTCTGGGCGTGAAGCTCAAAGTCTGATGATGGAGGCTTCCCGGCCGGAGTCAATCCGGTGCTACTGTCAAAAAAACATCGGAGCCAATGGTCGCGAAAAGCCTTGGTGAAGCAGCAAACTGGGGGGGGGGGGGGGATATCTTGGTTAACCACTTCAAACCGCAGATAACCACTTATCAAAATAATAATAATTAAAACAAAATAAACTAAATCTAAACAGATCATTTTGTGACCGATTACTGATGACTGACAAATTATGCCCAATCAAGGTTTCTGAGGGGCTACATATCTCTCTAATAACTACTTAATGGTATTGGCTATTATAAAATCTCCCGACAACATTTTTGTTTTTCAATTATTAAAAAGAAACAGGTACAATTTGTACTGACTGGAAATGCACTGTAAATCTGAGAACCATACTGCCACGAAATAACCATTCCTGACCCAAAAAAAAAGCACATTTGCAACTCTTGTACTTAACAGCTTAATCAAAATAAAATATAAATTTAGGCAGAGTTCCTGTGCATGCCGGAGAGGATACACTGTTTATAAAAACCAACGACACCCAAAACTTTCTGTTCGACCAATTAGCAGATGTTAATTTAAGGTGTTAAGGCTGTGACATACTTTGAAGCAAAAAATCAAATCAAAATAATCACACAAAAATCCGAGTAAATATGGAAGCAAGCAAGATTGGTACGTATATATGACAGCACATTATTGAGACGCAAGACATAAGGACTATGTCATAAGAGAAGTGATGAGAATTCAATGCAGAGGCTCGTGTGCACCCGGGGGTTGTCAAAATGCGCTGTTCATTTCCTGAACCGGCAAAGCGGAAACAGATTCAGAGGGTGACCTAGTCCCTTTGTGTTGCTAACTAGACAAACAGTTGCCGAACTAATGTCAGGCCGAGAAACGGCACAAGTTGCACAGGCAAAGTCTGTGAACTATGACCACCGTCAGTCTTGAAATATTCTATTTGTCTTTGGGAAAACTCGCCCAAACCAAGAAGAGAAGTCTTCTAAACAGTCAACAAACGTGCGCATTAAAAAGAACATCCTACGGTAATTTGTAATGAGTTTAAGGACACTTTGTACTCCGGTGCTGGTTTAAAAACAAGAGACAAAATAGTTGACCGAAATTAAAGTCACAAAAAAAAATAAGAGGAAAAGAAAACTGCTGACAAGTGCTGGTTTTGGGCACCGTGACTTAGCAAAAAGACCGTGCAAAAATATCCTACTACTGACAGGACTAGACATCACGAGCAGTTTAACCTGAGATTCGCCTTATTTTTTTTTCAGTCGAGGAAGAATATCCGGAACATAATCAGAAAAGCAAGTTAATGAATGAAACAAGGAACATGCCATCGTGGACAGTAAATGGAAGCACGGACAGAAAGCGTAGAATGTATATTGTGTATACAAAAAAAAAGTATTAAAGGTGCACATGGAAAAAAAAATTGTGAGCTCCCCCCCATCAGGAAAAAGTTAATGGTACAGTGGTTTAATCTGTTGAGTTGGACATGAAAGTCTTTATTTGTATGAATCCATAACGTTTGTTTGTTGGGTTTGTTTTAGGTTGGGTTTTTATCAGTAGTCTTGTCAGGTAATTTTGTCTGCATTTCTTATCTTTTTTTTGCTATTCTTTTTGCTATTTTTTCACGAGGCCAAATCAAGATTCAGGCAGAACACAGCTTCTGGAAAGGTTGCTCATCAAAAAGGAAAGTTTCCTTTGCCATACAATTTTTTAAAAAAATCTATGTCAATCCCATATTGATCGTGGTGGATAGGTAATCTACAGTACATGTATGTACACTGGTTTCAAAAAAAATATATAGATAAGCAGTTAAAATTATAAACCCAACCCTTTCTACCATAATCATCCCATAATGGACAAGTAAATGTTTAAGCAGCAAGAATCTTATTTTTAAGTACAATTAACATGATTTCAGTTAGACTCTTGATAGTCTAGACAATTTGAACATGACAAGTGTTTGCAGACTATTCAACCGAGTCACCTGTCATAACCTCTACCATAACAAACTTTTGAAGTTCCCCTGGCAGAGTTTGGCAAACAAACAACAAAATGCAAAAAAAAGACGACGTGCCACTACACACAGCAGGGCAACGCATCCGTCACAAACCAACCGAATTCTCCCCCTTGATTCATCTCTCTAGCTTTACAATGATAAATGCATCTAATTTATCTATAATTTATATACATGTATGTATTTTTACATTATTACATAATTTGTATAGCCTCTGTGAGATAAAAAAAAAAAAAAACCTTAAAAAAAACACAGAAACGGAACTATTTAAAGCAAAGATAACGTCGCAAGCGTTCAAGCGTATTTATAAAGTCTCGCTGTCGGTACACATTTCAATTACGATGTTAAGTCAGTTGCTATTTTTAACTGTGTTTACAAATTTACACAAAAATATTACAACAGTTCTGTGCTTACCAGATGCACTAAGAACTTTTTTTTTTTGTGGGGCTTACGACTGTAAACCTTCAAATCTGTCCGTTTTAAGTCTGGTTCCTCGTATCTTGCCTTTTCTTGCACCACCGAAAACCGTCAATCACAGGTCACCCTCCGCCCTTCTTGTGTAGCACCCAGAGTATAGTACCCTGGTCACAACGCAACAACTGACTGTGTTTGCCCCCACCCCAAGGGGGAGAACACTTTAATTGGATTGCCCGCTACTAAGGGTCAAAAAAAGTTAACGACCAAAGTTTAAAGTGTTTTCTTCCTACCGTTAGCGAGGGCTCAGGAAAAGCCGATGCTGAAATTCTAAGTGGGCTTCCTGCCTCGTGTGTACTTAGCACATGTCCATAAACTCTCAAGTGCATTCAAACTTCCCCAGTCAACAAGTTGCCGGCTTTGGAATGACAAGGCAACAAACTCAACTCGGCAATTTTTTTTTTACTCTGGTACCAGGGCCAGACTTCATGTAGCTGCAAAGCTGAAACAAAATGCTATTCAAAATTGTTTTCCAGCCAAAAATCAGCTGAGAACAAGACACAAGGAGAGTACAAATCATTGGACACTGTTGGCATGTGCCCTGTTCTTAGCGCCCTTGGAACAAAGACATTGACAAAAATGGGGAACTGCCAACACAGGGCTGGACAACTCAGTTGGTAGAACACTGGAATGGCAATCCAAAGGTCGCAGGCTCAAACCCCATTCTAATCACTCTCTTTGTTCAACATTTGACAATTGTTTCTGTGCTCAACACATTTCCGCACTCAGCAGCTCCATGCCTTTGGCCCGAGGGCTGTTGGGCAGACTAAGCCCCAGAGGGAAATATCAGTCTCACTCAAAAAGGATAAGTGACAGTATTTCTCCATGGGGTCAAGTTTGCTTACTTCTGAATTCACATTGATAAATATTTTCAAAATCTGTGATGTGACATGTTGGACAGGACAGTTTCTCTCGTCTTTTCAGTTAACTAAAGTTGACCAGGACTGGCACATCGGCGGCGCAAGAAAAGCCCAATAGTCACACTGGTCACGTGAAGCGTATATCAGATGATATGCATATATTATCATCCCTCTTTCCTTCACAACGACGACATAAAAACAGTTTGTCGTATTCCTACAGACTAAAATACACACGGCACCATGAAGCATCAATATACACTTGTTTTTTTTTGTTTTTGGAGGGGCGTCATATAGCTTTATGCTTTCCCCCGCAGCACCCGCATTTCGTGCCACACAAGTGGCAGCATTTGAGTGGTAAATAGCACCATAGACAGGGGACAAACAGCGACAGCAGCCCCAGACCCAGCCATCTTTGGCAGAAGTGGGTGTCGCCACTGATGTCGCACGAGCAGGGGTCCGAGAAGTCCCCCTCCGCATCCGACATGCAGTGGTACATCATGCTCTGGGCTGCCTGGATGCAGCTGACCTTCCCAATGCAGCGTTCTGTCTCATCGGGGGCGTCTGGACACACCCCCCGCCTGTTCATCTCCGGATTGAAAAACTGTTGGCAGTGCACACACTTGACTTGATCAGCCGGCATGGGGACCTTGAAGGCCTTGACCGGTGGGGATGGTGGCCTGGGTTGGCCGGTCACCACCTTGAAGTAATGTCTGGGCTTTCTTAAATCGTCCTCCCCTTCTGCCTGCACCATTGGATACACATACTCGTGGATGTGCGGCGGCTTCTTCAAGATCTTGACGTAGGGATCGCTGCTGCCGTTCTCCCCCGTCAAGCCATTGTCCCGCTGCGACTGGAACTCGCTGGCCTTCTTTGTCCATATCGTCTCATGTCCAATCGAGGAATACTTTTTGTTGGAGTTGGAGAGCCGGCGTTCCTTGTCATCCTTGACCGACCTGGAGCGGGACACGTAGTGGACTCGGTGGAGACGCTGCTGGCTGCTGTGATGGCTGAACGGAGGAGCAAAGTCTCTGGTTGGGGTGGGCTGCATAAGGATATCTCGTAGACTCTCTCGTTGGTTACTGCCGGGTGTGTTCTGGTATTCATGAGTGGGGTCACACAAGAGTGGTTCGCCAACATGCTGTACAAAGAAACAATCAAATACATACACAGCATTCGATTAAATAAAAACAACCAGAAAAAACAAACAAACTTTGAATGAGCAGTTGTGGGATGCTAAACTGTCCAGGGATGTCAATTAAGACCTAAGTTTATAACAGTAAAAACAACCCAGGTTACAGGCAAAAATAATAGGCAATTGTAAGGCAGATGTTTAACAAAGATTCTCCCAAGTTTCAGTGATTTCTACACCACCCTAACTCTCTAAGCCCTTTTTGCTAGTAGGAACCATCCTTAACCCTCCAAAATCCTTCAAAATGTTGCACTTATGTTCAAATGAAGGATACCCAGCGCCTCACAAATCCTTCAAAATCGTCAGACAGTCCTGCCTCAAAAAATGCATTCATCCTCAATCCTCCAAAATCCTCCTCCTTTTCAAACACCATTCATCCTCAATCCTCCAAAATCCTCCAAAACCGCCAAGAGGATTTTGGAGGATTGAGGTTTAATAAGTGATGCCCACACCAAGATGGGTATGCAACCTTTGTAATCCCTGCAAATAACTCTTCTTTTTACGTTATAAGCAAAATTTTATTATGAGACATGAAAACAGCTAACTGATATTTTTTCCTGATATGACTCATATTTTTTAATCCGGAAGGATTTTCTTCTACCACTTCCTCCTTAAAAGTGCTTTTTAAGCAGAGGAACTAGGCTTGTGCAGTGAAGGATTTTGAGAGACAACAGTTTATCATCACAAAAAACACACTGTGGTATTCCGTATAACTAAGTGCTGTTCTGGGCAGGCTATAATGTCAACAAAATAAAACAAGACAGAGGGTGAAAGGTCAACCGCAAACAGGCAGATCGGCCCTGCCGGATGGCTAGTAAGCAAAAGTATCGGTTATAAGTCCAGCTCCACAATTGCTTGCTTATTTCAGGCATACAACTGGGAATTTAGAAAAAAAACTAGGAAACTCCAAACCACACAAGACTTTGTACAGCACTTTTCAATTTGTAATGGCATTCATGAGAAGTAAAAAAAAAAAAGGAAATCGGCGGATCCGTGGAAAAGTTGCATGCCTGTTATTTAGATGCGCATCTAATCAGGTTGGGATTTTAAACCTAACTCCCTACTGAGTTTTATGAAGTAGAGTACCAAGTCCATCAAAATCCATCACTGACTTTGCCTCACATAATGCTTCAGGACCAAATCAATTGAAATCCAACACAAATCCACCACTGCTATAGGTGGATTTTGATGAACTTGGTACACACGGCTTATCTACCAAAATGCCCCCAAATGAGAAGATGGATTTTGATGGAGTTAGGGTTAGGGTTAAAGATCTTTTGCTCACAACTTTATCGGTACCAGTATTTCGCTATTTTAACAACTTTGTTCGGTATTGCTCAGTATAAAAGTTATTGTCACTGTACGGTATTACTGAACTACTGTCAGAGCCTATTGGGGAACATACATGCACATGTATATGGTGCCTTCGAGTAGCATCCCCGTTGAAGCCACGAAACAAGGCTAATAGAATGCTGCAGTGTAATCGCCTTGCAGTCACTAAGACCCGCTTGCGAGCAGGGGCAGTGGTGGTTGACACCGGGGGCAGACACGAGTATCACGTGATGGCTTATCGTACACTCGTGTAAGTTTTATTTACACGTGTAAAGTAACTCAAACGCAGCCATAGAATTGATTTTTTAAAAATTTTGTAAAAGGTTTTTCTTTTCTTTATTTTAATGAAAGGGCAGGGGCTGACATTTACAATGTACCAAACAATTGAACTGTACATTCTTAAGAGTATTAAGTATCTCAAAACTTGATTGTGCTATGTTATTGTTGTCTAAGCAGTTTTTGTAAAAAAATATTTCACCCTGTTGGAGGATGATGCGAGGTATAACTAACAGCCTTCTCAATTTTTTTTCTTCAAATTCCCATGACTTACACTTGGTGGGAAGGTGTCTGGGTCATCGTCGACTTCATTGTCCGTTGACTGGTTCAGTGAGGATTCCGTCGATGCACCTGTGAAAACACCACAAATAGGAAAGACTGGGAAATTAGGCACAAAGGCATTTTCTTTTTATCAGGACTAGCAAGGTCACAAGGTGAACGCTGCAACAGTTTGCCGGGGAAAAAAGGGAAAGAGAAGTGGTTAAAAAAGTGGGTCAGGTCGATCATCCTGTCTGCTGGAGACGGAGGCAGTTCTGGCAGGGCTTTGGATTCAGCAGTGGGAGGCTCTCAGCCCACTTCCCCAATTTCACAAAAACTTTGGACACGATGCATTTAACTCTGCTCACAAGCGGAAGGGAACATATGTGTTACATTGGAGACAAGTGGGATCTTTACATAATATTTTCTGGGGGGGGGGGAATAAATATGGGAATGTTGAAGTTAAAAGCGAATAACGAAATAACTGTGAACTTCAACCCAAAGAACAGGGAATAAGAACTGATAATTAAGTGATATGTAACTAAAGATTTAGAAGAAAATATCCATCTTTCATGGTACATGTACACATGAATAATGTCAGTGGTGTTGTATGACTCCACTTTACAAAAAGTTTAGTTAATGGGTTTGTCTCTCTCCGTCCTTTGCATTAAATGTATTGAACTAAGACTACTTTATTCTGGCACTTATGATGTTTTGTCATGATTTCCCCCCCCCCCCTCCTTTATGGATACTAGAGCTAGGCTGCCGGGCCTCGTTCACCATTGCCTGGTCTGATCTCAAACCTACAGACAAATTCCACAGAACAATCTGTGCCTGTCCCAATACACACCAAAAACCGGCAAGTTTCTCTTGCAACTAACGCCATAGCCTAATGCATTAAGCAGTGCACCAGGTCTGTAGTATCCTCCAGGTAACTGACAAAGAGGTGGATAGAAAGGCACCAGAAATGCTAGCCTGCGGGCGACTCTAATTCTCCTCTAACTTTTCCTTTCTTTCTGTCTTCTTTAGTTGCAGACTCCTAACAGTGAAGCCTCTGGCAACATTTCTACAAGTTTTTGAGCCATGCTCTCTCTGTTTCTTCTCCGCGTCTCTTTCTCCCAGGAAAGCGGGAAATCTAATTGGCTGACAATGGAAATGAAGCATCTTCCTGACATAAGACGCGCGGTCTCTGGGGTGCTGGCAAAGAAGTCAGTGGCCAGACAACTGGGGAGATTTCTATCCTAATGCAACAGTCAGATCTGGGAAATTTTCCGGGCACATAATGGCCCTACACATTTCCAACTGCAGCCACACAGTAAGGATCTTTGGGGACTTAACCCATTTCATCTTCACCATTCTCCAACCAGACATTTTCAAATGAAAAAGAGAAGAAAATAAAGAGAGAAATTGTTGTCACTTCTCAGGTTGAACTTAACCTACAATTCCATTTCACAATGTCATGAAAATATCTTTAATTATTACTCAATACGTTTACTTTCAAAACTGTAAAAACACTTCTATTACAATGAGAATTCTGTACCGTAAAACTTGGCAAAGATACCCCCCTCTTGGGCTTTTTATTTTTCAGCAGCCGTATGAAAATGAAATTGCCCTGCTTTTTCCGATATCAGTCTTGACTTTCACTTTCAATCCCATTGTCAAGATGCCCTTTAATCGCATGACAGTTCCTTCGTCTTCCGATGCCCTCATGTGCTAACACAAACACCTTGTTTGCTGGGTAACTTTCAGTTTTTAGGCAAACACTGTTGCGAGAAAACAAAGGGGTTGCAATGTTTAGACGTAGAAAGTTTCTAATGAACTTCTTGACCACCTGATTACAACATGTATAGCGTGTTTAAAGAGAGTTAAAAACAATATATGCCAAAGTTTAATTGTGATGTGAACTTTCAGTTTGCGCTTCCTACCATGTACATTGCATTTTATATCGCATAAACAGGGTGAGTAAAAAAAAATGAAACCCAAATGTTGGGACCATTGTTTTATTGAAGTTCTGCATACATGTATGTAGCACTTTCAAAATCTAGGATATGAAAGCCCCACTCATAAGCTTTCTTTTAGTATAAGAATCATTCAAATCACTCATGTGCTTTTCAAGTTACGGAAGTTTAAACACAACCACCATTTTAAGGTTCTGTCCACGGATCACAAAAAAAGTTCAGTGTTCCTTCAGCAAAATGAAAACAAATCACATAGGAATGGTGTGTAAATTGTTTTCGTTTTGCTGAAAGAACGCACACCTTTTGTGTTATCCGTGGACAGAACTTTAAAACAGTGGTTGTGCTTAAATTTCCGTAACTTCAAAAGTACATGAGTGATTTGAATGATTCTTGTACTAAAAGAAAGGGTTTGAATTGGGCTTTTATGTCCTAGTGTTACATCACACCTAGATTTTGAAAGTGCTACATGCAGAACTTCAATAAAACAACAGTCCTAAAATTTGGGTTTTCGGTGTTTTTTTTTACTCACCCTGTATTGTATTTTGGAAATAAACTCTTCAAACGTCGATTTCCAAAATGTGATATATCAAATTGAAAAAAGTGAAACTTTACATGGTTTTTAAAACTGATAGAAGATACATACATGTACTGTACCGGTACATGTACAAAGTTAGTTCTAATTTACATTTGTGTGTGTTATTGTACTCTTAAAACAACAGCCATCAAAACTGAATTTTGGGAATCAGGAGAGGGAGGGATTCTAAAAGGTAACAAAAATCACATTTATCGCGTTCTGGAAAACAAACTCTTCATTTATGCAAAATGACCAATTAAGTCCGACCAATGAAGGCCATACCACCACGGCCCTTTAAATTAAAAAATCCAGCCAAGCCTGCCAAACTATTCACATCCCACTTCCCCTACTAGACAAGGAGAGGAAAAAGTCACTTCCAGAATGTTCAGTCTCCTCATCCTGATTGGGGAAACATAAACACAGATAGCAAATCCAGATACCAGGTTTTTTTTTTTATAAACTTGCAACTTCCGAAATGCATTTGGCACCGGTGTGTTTTAACATGCATACATGTACACATATGTACATGTACATGTATACAATGTATGTACGTGAATGCATGCAACACAGTTGGGGGGGAGCGCAGTTTGTGCCCACAAGAAAGAACATGGTTTTCATGTTTTGTACCCAAACCCAACACAATGGTGTGTTTGTATGGGTTTAGATGAAAAAAGCCGCTGTAGAGGGAAAAGGGCGGTCTGACCTATCACACACCCTATACCAATATTGCACATGTACATGTACAGTATACATGCGCATTTTTTTCTCCCTAAATCTTGTCAATTGTGCAGCAGTGCGCGTCGCTCTGAACAAAAACATTGAAATGGTTTCCAGTTGTGGCATGCACCATGTAACTGTCAATGAATCACGTTGTGTATGCATGTGAACAAAACTACCGGTACTTCCCAGTACACATTGGTCTAAATGGGAACCCATGTACATACACATTAATAAAGGTACAATGTACATGTATAGGGTACATGTACATCATTTGCAGCTTTCAAAAAGTAACTGACAATATTAATTATTATTGACTATATATGCTTGGGTTTAAAGATTGTAATAACACTAAACGCCCTGCGAAATTATTCTTTCTGGCATGCTGTCATGTTGAAGAAAACAATAAATGACGGCCATTTCGAACGATGCGTCTAAAGATTCATTTTTTGAAATTTCCATTAGTAATTTGTTTTTAATTCGGTGACTGGTGCGCGCAAGCATTGCCACAACGCATGCGCGCGCGCGGTCGCTACAATTCGTCGGTTCAATGCATGACATTGTGTAGCTGCAATCGGTTGAATGAGAACGTGTCCCGGACGCTGATTTCGGGCGTAATTCAAAACATGACTCGTCAACTTTTGAGTTGAAATCGAGATTCCCGGAATATTGCTGTCTCGGACCATAGGCCTACAGCACTCAATGAGCTGCACGTAAAACTTCATCAGGTTAGTTGTTCAGCACCCTCCTTTAGATTTTGAGCACATTTGTGGCTTCAAACGAAAAAAATACAAAAGACAAATGATGTACTCTACGTTTAATTTCCACTGAAAACAATCTTGAAACAGGAAGTAAAAAGGGGGGGGGGGACACCGAATTTCACAATTTCATTACTGATAATTGGAAAACCTCATTCTATTTCATGGTCCACTAGTAAAATAAACACACTGCTTAGAAGAATAAATTCCCTTTGACCTTTCAACATGGTGCACAGTGTCCTGCCCCGCTGGAAATTCCAGCGCGTCGCCGATCACATTAAACGATTAATTTCTTAAGCCGAGCCCCATTGTCCTTTGCACAATAAAAAATAATCCAGCTGGTTCCACGCGACACAAAAGGGCAAATCCGCTGTAACTGACTATACGCAATGCAGGTCTGTGGTTGTCATAATGGCATCTGTTGAGCCACAGTGTAATTGCACAGATTATTCATGAAAGCATACACACTACACAGTATGTACATGTACGTTAAAGGTAATATACGTGTACAACATTTGCAAACATCAAAAAACAAAACTACCAAATTATGATGAAACACCGTTCTTGAGTATAAAGTATAAGTGTGTCTCAAGCATCCTGTGCAATCATGGCATCTGGTGTGCTGTCGTTTTCAAGAAAAGTTGAATTTTTGTATCAATTTCCAACGATAGTTGGCCGACCATCGTTGCAAAAAATTGACTTTTTTTATCAAAATACTGCTCCAAATTTACCGAATTTAGTTACAAAGTAGTCCACATTTCATTTGTAATCAGTTACACATCCATGTATGACCTCATATCGCAAACCTCTGCATGCATACATTTTGTGTAAATGAACAAGCATGAACATTTATACATGTATGTATGTACTGGTACATGTACATGTACGGTATGTTGTACATGTTTGTTTACTCAACCCCATACATGTACACACATGGACATACATGTACTTACATGTAGGTAATCTGTGCTGCGCACTACTGGTACATGTCCTTTTAATGGCTGGCATACATGTACATGTACACGTACATGTACCGGTACATGTAGCTGTGATTTCAGTGAGACTTACACAGGCTGTTCTCATTCA